TTGGTACTGACCACACGAGAATAACCCACTCGAAACTTGGTGAACTGTTGTGGCAGGATCCACCTAATTTGCATAGTGGAGTACCGACCATATAAATATGGTTGGTACCTGGAAGAGAGGGGAGGAATCAAGAGATTCAACCAGAGACTCTGCCCGACTGCGACTAAGTCAACACATTCTCCAGGAACGGTCTTCACAGGAATATACAAAAGACTATATGTAAATATTGTGTACACTTTCTTGTTTCAATACATTTTGTTCTAAGTACATTTTGTGTTGCATTATTATTCCATGCATTAGTCAAGTTTCAACATGAACAAAGAAGATCAACCAATATTCTAAGCATGTGAAACGACATATAGAATTAAACATATATTAACGAGTGTTCAGACCTTGCCTTCTGAAGACAGTCAGTCAGTCATGTGCCATGTGTGATACACGTTTAGACGATCATTTATCTTTCGATACATGACTGACGAAGCAGATTTTTCCCGCAGTAGGTTGCCATTTCTTTTTGCGGTAGACCAGTTGTATCCAAGGCCGGTCTGTCCTGCTATTTACCCATAGCTATAGGAGACCAGGATTTATGCCTTTCTCAAGGGTATCAACACGTAAGAGAATGTAATGGATTCGACTTGAATTCGAAATCGGCTTTCCGATTCCTCAGTACGAGCCGCTATCCATTACTCTACCGTGACAACAACACTATAACATAAACAACGAAAATGAAAAAGTGGATGGCATAATATTATTTCTTAAAAGAGTGGGCTTATACAAAAAAAAATATAAACCAAATAAGAATGTCGATAAAACCAACTTCTCTACGAACTGGATATCTGAAAAGAATACAGCAATAAAACCTGATCTCATATTATTCATACAAATCTAGTTGAAAAATCTTGCTGGCATTAAACAACCTATTGACGCTAATATGCCGTAAAACCAAACAAAATCTGTTTGGTACGAAAACCACAGTAAGAAATAGCGTGGTGAAGCAGTGGTACGATACTCCACAGAGGCCTCAAGAGTGTTAAGGCAAAAATATAAGAAACGTAGCTCTAACCAACGGTGTCTTTTGAGCTCCGCATATCAATTATAATGTCCGTGGCAATTGCTTTTACATTGTCGATAGTTATTATCATGTATTAATTAGTTGTATATTAGCCTGGTTTTTGCAGACAGTCAAATGACAATAGGAAAACTGTAATAATTGCCGACGCGTTTCGTCCAATGTGCACTTTCTCAAGGCAAAACGCATCGGCAGCTATTACAGTTTTCCTATTGCCATTTATATTTATAAATATTGTGTTTTCTACTGGTTAACTCTGAGAATTTTTCATATATATATATATATATAAGAAAATCTTAAGGAGCCAGACAAACCTAACTAAACAGTTCGTCAGTTTAATGTCCTTGGTTCTTACTTTTTTTATTTCCTATTTTTCCTTGGGTACCGATTTTATCTACTACAAATCGAACTAGCTAAGGTTTTTCCAAACAGTACCAGCATTTATATATATATATATATATATATATATATATATATATATATATATATATATATATATTAAGAAATGGACAAAGTCCGACAATTTATTTTATTAAAGACATTTTTATGTTTAACGTTCGTTTTTTTTTTATAGATACAAGTATATAAGTAAATGCTCTGTTTATAATAAACAGTATTAAATAATATTTACTGGCCTGAATGTTATTTAATACTGTTTATTATAAACAAACATTTACTTAAATACTTGTATCTATAAAAAAAAAGAACGTTAAACATAAAAATGTCTTTAATAAATATATATATATATATATATATATATATATATATATATGAATGTGTGTGTCTGTATATATAAATATATATATATATATATATATATATATATATATATATATTCAACGAATGATGATGACTATGGAAGGAAATGATTTTCTAGTTAAAAATGGTTTTACAGATAAAAACTCGGGCTATCAAACAGCGTTATTGTTCTCGCAGTATCTGTTTTAGTTTCCATGGAAATAAATGGAGGTCATTACTTTTATAACGTGCATTCGTATCTTAAGAATTGCTTACGTTGCATATGCGTAATATCAGGAGCAAATTAGGAAAGATATATAGAAATATACAGAAAATTATATTAGCCGTAGAAATGTATATATATATATATATATATACATATATGTGTGTGTGTGTGTGTGTGTGTGTGTGTGTGTGTGTGAAGAAATATAGTCTTAAGGGGTGCTTTATTCATGGGATAAAGTGCTCAATATAAAATATAGAGCGTGTGTAAATATATAAAATGAACATTGAATTCAACACTTAGGGGCGACAGGCTGTTTCATGCTAGACGCAATCGTCAGGCAGCGGCTTGACAGTTGCGTCTAGCATGAAACAGACTGTTGCCTCTAAGTGTTGACTTTAATGTTTCACTTTTATATATATATATATATATATATATATATATATATATATATATATTATTGCAAAAAAATAATGTCGTTTTCTCACATATGTTAGTTTTATATATGATTTCTGAATGAATTCATTGATATATATAGCCATGTTATATATCATTTTGAAGCGCGTTTTTCGCTCTATCGAATCGTGTTATTCGTTACCGTTCTCAATCTCTTCATTCATTTTTTTGCAGGCTTTTCGACAGCATGGACAAAATTCAAATCCGCACAATTTTCTTGTTCCAGTTCAAACTAGGCCGAAAAGCTGCCGAGACAGCTTGTGATATCAATGATGTGTTTGGCCCAGGAACCACTAACGAACGTGTGGCACAACGGTGGTTCAAGAAATTTCGCAATGGTGTCGAGAGCCTCGAAGATGAAGACGGTCGCGGCCGGCTGACTGCGGTTGATAACGAACATTTGAAAGCCTTAATTGAAGCCGATCCTCGCAGAGCCACACGAGAAGTTGTTGTTGAACTCGAGGTCGACCACTCAACAGTCGTTCGCCATTTAAAGCAAAGAGGGAAGTCAAAAAAGTTGGATAAATGGGTGCCACATGAATTGAACGATAATCAAAAAAATCGTCGTTTTGAGGTGTCTTCTACGCTCCTTCTGCGCAACAAAAACGACCCATTTCTCGAGCGGATTGTGACATGTGATGAGAAGTGGATCCTCTACGACAACCGGCGACGTTCGGCACAGTGGTTGGATGCCGGAGAAGCTCCACAACACTTCCCGAAGCCCAAATTGCAGCAAAAAAGGTTATGGTGACTGTTTGGTGGTCTGCGGCCGGTCTCATCCATCACAGCTTCTTGAATCCGGGCGAAACGATTACGGCGGAGAAGTACTGCCGACAAATTGACGAAATGCACCAGAAGCTCCAACGTATGTGCCCGAGATTGGTCAATATGGAGCGACCAATTCTCCTCCATGACAACGCTCGCCCGCATGTTGCTCAACTGACCCTGCAGAAGCTGAACGAATTGGGCTACGAGACTCTGCCTCATCTGCCATATTCACCAGACCTCTCGCCCACCGATTATCACTTTTTCAAGCATCTCGACAACTTCCTGCGCGAAAAATGATTCAAAAGCCGAGATGATGCCGAATCGGCCTTCAATGACTTCATCGCTTCCAGAACTCCGGATATTTATGCTAATGAGAAAATAAACTTGTTTCTCGTTGGCAAAAATGTGTCGATTCTAATGGTTCTCATTATTATAGTTTATTATGAAAGGAGTTATGATCTTTTGAAGTTGAACGTCAAAAACGACATTATTTTTGCACCAACCTAATATATATATATATAACATAAAAAAACAATTCCAAATCTTGTAACAGAGTAATTGTCCATCCCACAAAATGTTTAATATCTGAAAAACACTAAAGTAATCGAGTTTCTTTTTTTTTCCAGATTTTCAGATAACACATTTAGCCGTCTTGACCCCATTTGTGATGAGAGTCACTGAAAAACCCTCTGAGTTATTCTAGAAAGAACAAGTTAAAATCATTTTTTGTCAGCCTCGCTGTCTTTCCAAATGAGCCATCAGTAATGGTACCAACATTCATACACTGGCTTCCATCTTCAAAGACCATTCAAGAACCATCAAGAGAACGGTGAATAATTTTTAAAACAGAGGGAATAGTTGAGAGGAAAAATGGATCGGGGCGGGGACAACAGGAAGATGGGTCATTATTTCAACTTAGAGCTAAAGAGATCTATTAGAAAATATTCAACTCAATTCTTAAGGCTTTTGTCAATGAGAGAGGAGTTTCAGCTATGACCGCCCACAGAGCAGTGAAAATGAAATCGTACATGAAAACTGTGAGACACATTGTTACTCCAAAACAAAAATTTAGAAAGTTAGAGATGGCAAAGATCATCTTGAATAAGTTGAATAATGATCCTGGTATATATATATATATATATAAATATATATATATATATATATATATATATATATATATATATATATACAGTAGCGACAAAACTAAGGGACAAAATTTTAAAACCTAATATTTGTTAGAAATAACAACTGTGAAAAGCTGAAATTTTGAGAACTGGTAGTCGTTATCATCCATAATAGCATACTAAAATTTGAATCATTTGCAAAGGATAGAAAAAGAATTATAACAATTATTTATTTATTTTCAAATTTGGAACGTCCAAAAAGTAAGGGACAAAATTGAGAAAAACAATGTAAACAGTATGCTATATTCAAATTTTTTGATTTTCTCTAAAGAATAAGTCTTTAATTGAAATATATATATATATATATATATATATATATATATATATATATATATATATATATATATATATATAATAGACAAAAAATTGTTCTAATTTCTGAAAAAAGTTTTAATTTCTGTAATAAGGAATTACTATTATGTGCATAAGCTTAAATCCGGAATTAGTTAATGCCCCCCACCCGCGTCACCAATAAATCTGAGGGAGTACGATCCAGGTCAGGGTTGAACTAAATATTCGTCTACCAATTAATGCAGGAACGCTACTAGGCTATTGTCCGCTGGTATTGTCGTTGAAACACAGGTTCTCTTGCGATCACCGAATTTAAGCAACGTCGAGCCTGGTCAGTACATAGATGGGTGACGGCTTAGGAATACCAGGGGACGTAAGTTTCAAGTTTCCGTTGGGTTCTTTATATTCACTTACACCGAAATACCCTTTGGAAAGGTATGAATCCTCCTCTTATCGGTTAATTAATAAGAATTGTATCGCTAAAACATTAAAAAAAATATATAATCCAAAAGTATTTTCTGGCTTAAAATAGCCTACAAAGGATTGATAAACCGTAAAAAGAGAGTCAATCAATCAAAACAGACCTAGTGGAATAACCATCAATAACCGGACTGGATTAATAAAAGTATAAGGATAGATATCCCTAGATCTTGACAACAAGGGCGAGAAAAATGTAACATAGGAAGGTTGACGAGGACCTACAGATACCTGAAGAAGAAAGGCTGGTGGTTACAACGTTCGAAACACTATAGCAATAGCAACAACGAGGAGGGTATCAATCCGAATTTAAATGTTTTGAAATGAAAAACCTGATATAATGCCTTTAAACAATTTAAGAAATATGATGAATGTGTTCACGTTGTATATTTCCAGATGACGCTCGATCATTTTGACATATTTAGGAATAATTGCTAAAATGACTTTGGCGTACATTTAAGCCAAATCCACGTGCTTCAGATGTACTTTCATTTGCTTTTCGTGAACAAAAAACACTTTCTTTTCAGCATGAATTGCATCAATATCATTTCCAAGATTCGAACATTTCGTCTGCATTTGTCACGCATAAATGCTCTTTTTATTTACTATTGTTGTCCACTATATTATGTTAATATCTTCTCGGGGATATGGAGCCAAGAACATTTGAATGGATTAGATAACGCAGCGAAAAATATTATCAGTGTCACAAAGATGATGACGTATGATTTCTTTATAATGCAGGATGATAAAAAAAAAGCCTGTATCCAGAGGCAAAATAAATATTACAGTAAATATCAGCTCTATTCTTCGAAAAAGAAGTTCCAGTCATATTTTACTCACCATTATGTGGAATGATTTGTTGCCATTACTCAGGCCGTTTTTCGATACCTTTTGATTGTTAAAAACTTTCCGATGACCTCTTGAGTCTGCCTTTTTGGTAGAGATAATTTTCCTTATGAAATATAAAAAAAAACCCAAAAAAACCGTAATAATTGTTTTGTTTCAGGTTAAGTTAGAACAGACCGACCGAGATTCATAATGTACCGTATTTTTTCTGGATTCGGCCTTGTGTAGCCATGGAGGGGAACACAAATTTTTACTTATTAACTCGAGCAAGGCGAATTTTGACCAGACTGATATAGACATATTTCAGCTACTGCATGCATACATGTGCTTTTATTGTTTCATTGCTTTTTAAGATGCGTAAAAGAATAATACCCCAACGATTCCATAAATCAAAGAATATTAACTTTCTTTCAAGGAATTCAGCTTTTAAGGTGGTGGGGATATTTTTTTTTCTTTTCAGTCTACTGTCTTTTGCGTTGAATACTGCTGTATATGTTTAATTTTATATAATCTTTTATAATGTATTTAAGGAACAGGTTATTTATCTGTTGTGAGAGAAGACTTGTCGCAATGGAGAAGCGATCCGCTTTTCACTAACAGCCCGTGAAACGCATGTTTGTCATCAATATTTGTTGAAATTTGACTTGTTTTTGCATTACAGGTATTGTATCTCCCCCCCCCCTTAGACTAATCATCATCAGGCAGTGGGTTTTTGTATTCAGAGCGTCTCTCATCCTATTCTCGTTGCAAACATTGACTGGATAGCCCAGTCTACCTTGCTATTTAAGCTACAGACGGGAGAGGAGAGATGGGTTCACAATGAGTCCACAGTTATTTGTTAGAAAGTGAATGCAATGAAATCGACCAGAATTCGATCTCGGATCATCAATTCCATGTATCGGACTGCTAACCACTACACTTCTTATACATGCTCATATATATCACGTTTTCACAATGGTGGTTCAAACGAATGAAAAATTTCATGTTACTACTTAACCGTTCAAGAGGTATCTTAACAATTTTACCGGATACTGCGAATGTCTAAAGGGACGAAGATCCATGAACTGTACAACGAAGGCGTCCTCATATGATTAATTCCTCGCTTACTGTAAGCAGAACGACAAAAAGTATTTTATGGAGATCTTTGTTTATCGATTTGTTACTTTTTATTTAATAACATTTAAAGCGAAATTAACGTTTTAATGCGAGAGAATAGTTGCAGAATTTGACGAAAATCAGTATGACTTGACGTTAACACGATGTCTAAGCAAAATTCCAGTCTTGTGCGTGTATATTAAAGCCTAGTATGAAATGAACATGTCTGAAAATATGTTCCAATAGTGGAACAATGGCGTCAAAAAAAAACAAAAATAAATAAATAAAATGGATAAAGCCAAAAAGTATTAAAGAAACATTTTAAAAAAGAATCCTTAAACGAAATATAAAAGCAAACCGTTGTCAATAATTTCATGTTCTATTGTATTTTTTATTCTTTTTACCGAAATGAAATATCCCTACACATAGGCAGTGGAGCGAAAACATTATACGCCGGTAGATTAAATAAATAGTTCAGTTCAGGATCAACATACATACTATGAAGGCTGAAGTCAGTATGTTGAAGACAACATGAATCAGATAAGTGACATACATTTCATTTGTACTTATTCTATCTCTCTCTCTCTCTCTCTCTCTCTCTCTATATATATATATATATATATATATATATATATATATATATACACCCAAGTATTCAACATCATCACTTGATAAGACACCGGAGGTGTTGAAACAAAATGGCTATTTTTGTAGTGATTTTATAACATATTTATGTTATATACTTTTTAAATAAATAATTATATATATATATATATATATATAACCAGGTATAAATAAGAACAAATGCAGTATAATTCCACAGTCCATAGCATTTAATTTTAAATAAGGGGTCAATACAGAATATACGTTTATATTAGTTATTATAGGAGATTAAAACAGAGACATTTCAAAATCTCTATACACTAGCTTTCGTGTTTCGGCACTGCGTTGTGCTACTTCAGGCTATGGTAAGTAACTGGTGAGTAAACGATTATTTTTAATTTCAAAAGCAAAATATACACTCTCATACCTGTTTAAGTGTAAGAGAAGATGAGAAAATTCGGGATCAGAATTAATATTAAAATGAAGCTTGTGGGTTTGAACCGATTAACCAATCAGGTGTCAGACCTAAGCTAAATTCAAAATTAACCTAAAAAAGAAAATTTCGATAATGGCATAATCTAAGCTGAAACAGAATGATAGACAAAGCCATTTAATTAAGCTAATGGCAACACTGTATCATAATTGTGGGCAAATACGACTTGTTCAATTTTCCATAAGAAACTAAGGGGAGGGGTTGTAAGATAATCAAACGTATAGCTAATTGCAACATAGATTTTATTAAAAGACGTCTTTAAGAAACCAGTGAATACAATTAACTGGAGACTATTGTGTAACGATTTTAAACATGTTTTTGTTTTAATCTCCTAGAATATATATATATATATATATATATATATATATATATATATATATATGGCAAGTACATCATTATACCTTACGACACAATTTCATGTTACTGCCTATTTAGCACACGCTCAACGTCTCCATTCTGTCACTCCTACTTGACAAATGTTCAGACGCTCTACGTTCTACCAATTCAGACTTTACACATAAGTCCGCCCACGTTACATCCACTGAGTCGAATCAACCTTATTCCCTCCGTATTCCAATAAGTTCCACTTAGTAGTTTCCCATGCTCTCCTACATTGTGAAACAGACTCCTGCGTCGATACTTCCGCGAACACTGCAATCTTAGCCTCTTCAATTTATATCTATCCTTCTTATCATCAAAATCTTAACATTTTCCTATGACATTCACATCACATTGTACTTGAAACAATGTATAAACTTGGAATTTCTTATCATGTCTAAGGGAATATTAAGGAGATAGACCATAGTCATAGTAAAATGAATGAAGATAAATAATCGTAACCAGTAAAATAATTATTGTAAACAATACGAAGTTTATACCTAATGTACATATTTCATTTAATATATAGTTTAATCGCGTTTAGCACTGTCCTGATACTCCATTCACTTGCACTATATTATATTATACTTAGTGATCCCTGATGAAATCCAAAGAAGAATCTGCAATATCATTGGTCTTGACCTAGCATCTCGGCTTCACTTTCCAACCGCCGTAATGTCGCTTCTCTGTGTCTTTTCCATAAATACTTACATGTTTTATTTTGGATGAACTCTTTGTTATATATATATTGTAAATACTAATAGCGGCTAGTTTCTAAATTGTTGCTTTATTCCCCCTCCCCCACAGACAATGAATTGTACATATGCAGACTAGTTAGGATTTTCATAGAGACAATGAGGTATTATGGTGGATGTTGTAAGAAAGATAACTAACAATGCGTTGTTTTGGTGTTAGGAATATTATGGTATGTGTATGTGTGTGATGCGGCATTCACCCTGGGCGGATATTATGGTATGTCTGAGACAGATTAAACCATCCTTTTGCCCGTTCACATTTTGGCCTTGCGCCACATTTTCTGTACTTAGCAGAACTAAATATAACTCTTTGGAATGGTACCTAGACTTTATGAATTTAAGCGCAGTTCTAAATTGGCGGCAAGGTCGCATCAATTCACAATTGAATCGGCTTGATGTAAGCGTATTGTTCTAAAATAACAGTATCTTCTCTCGCACTTCTCGCTTGTGGAACTTTTACGGCTAGTGAAGTTTGATCTTCAAAACGATAAATGCAGTGACAATCGCCATCTCTCTCTTCTTAACTAATTTTATTCTTCTCGCTTCTCGTCTTCACATACTGTTTCACATTAAGTAACCTTATTTGTCTTGGCTATATTGCCTTGCTTAGTGTAAAATGATTAAAAAAATTATATCTATCTATCTATCTATCTATCTATCTCACTCTGTTCATATCTATCTATCTATTTTTTATGTATTTTCTATCTGCCTGTATGTGAGAGAGAGAGAG